TCAGTCTGGGCCACAGTGTTGGCAGTTCTGTGGCTACATGGTCATAAGATGGACTTCAAGGATGAGTGGCAGTTTGTGGCTGCAAAAGCTGTTGCTTGGATCAAGGCTCAGTCAGGTAGGAGAGAGCTCTCCCTTTGTTTGATACACATTCATTCATGGTATATCATGGGTAATATAACTGAAATAGAATAACATTTTTCAAATTTTGTCTTTGTATTGGATTTTTGTAAAATAATGTTGGCAACAAAAATGTTTGTGTCTGTACTGTAGGAGCTGATTTGACCGGGTTTGTGGCAGCTGGGAATTCCTTCCTTGGCCTCCAGGTGGAGCTGCAGAACTTTAGCCTGCAAGAGTGAATCAGACCCTGAATTGCCATCATATTAGCCTATCGCTGCTGCACGCAAATTATATCCCAGCCAAGATAATTACTGTTCTGTTCTTATTTGTGAAACTGACCATACTGACATAAAAGGAACATTTTGATATTCCAAGCAAAGTAATGATTCTGCCTACATCACAATTAGGTAGACAGATCGATTCCAGTTAATTTAACGTGTTTTCTAAGTGTTCCTGCTATGCTCCTTTGTAAAACATTTTACAAAACATTTTGAAAAGAATAAGAACGTTTAACACAATAATGACTTTATGATTTCATTGATTCCAACATATTATTGTGCTTATAACTACTTAATAAGCTATTTATTAAAAGTTTAAACCGCTAATCAGAATGTGAGGTTGGGATTTCGGTGCTGCAAAACACAGGCAAAAATCTAAATCAGCACAGAATTAATTAAGATGGGTAAATGCTTCATTGTCTTTAAAAATTGCTCAGTTGTACACGTGAAATTCTGGAAACAGACACAACAAAAAAAAAATTGTGAAATCATCATAGTAGCATCAACATCATATCAAATGTAGTTTGAGGATTCATGTATTCGATTCCATTGATCAATCTTTGATCACTTATCCTATTGAGGGTCATGGGGGGTCTGGAGCCTATGGGCACAAGGCAGGGAACAACCTAGGATGGGGTGCCAACCCCTCACAGGACACACACAGACCGACAGGCAATGTGGTAATTCCAGTTATCCCCCCGCTGGGTTTGGACTGTGGGGGGGAAATCCCACAACAACATGCAAACTCCACACACATGGAACCCAGGCTTGAACCGACAGCGCTAAGCATGGAGCAGGAAAATGCGCAAACATTTAAATCAGTGGATTTAATCTTGGACCACTGCTTCTCAAATGAAAGATATTTTAGTGAGTGTGTGGGGCATTTTAGTAACGGAGACTACTGCTCATTTAAAATGGAGAATCAGTCTTTTGGCAGATTGCGGTAAAACCTGTTTAGTGGAATGGCAGCTGGGATGTTGGAGCCAAGACCCACCTTTTCCACCTTTTCCACCGCACTGTAAGCTTAGTCTCTGCCAGGAGGCCAGGAACTTACAGCAAGAAATTTGGAGAACAAAGACTCAATTCCCAGCATAAATCTCCCAGGCTTGGGCAGGCCGGTTACAGGCACATTGTTTGGCCTTCTGGACCCACTTGATGTATCCTGTGGTAATTAGCACGATCTTCTCAATCCTCTCCCTCATCTCACAGACAGTAAGGCTTGTTTCTCCCAGGCCCACTTTGACACACGGAGCTGGTTCCAGCACTATCACCCAAAGAGGAGTTTAAATGCGGTGAATCCTATGGATGCCTGGGGGATTTCCCAGGAGGCGATGAGGCAGCATCACGTCCCAGTTTTACCCATCCTTGTCAATGATGGATCAGAGCATCTGAACTGGCCAATGAGCCGGTCAATCTCATAGGTGACATAGGTGGCCGCCCAGGACGCCAACTTCTGGGGGTAGCAGGGATGGTGTCACTGGCAGCCGATTTCACTTCCAAGACAAAGTGAAATTGTCTTGCTCACACCTCTACAAGTACACAGGCGCGCTGTGGTGCTGGCACAGAACAGCTACGTGATGTGGGGTGTCACCTTTGCAGCAAGAGTACAATACTAAGTGTTCCCAGTGTGCTCCATTTTAAAATCTTATAGTATTAATTCCTTGTGACGGGATTTACCACCCACCCCCTCTAATTTACTTCCATGAAATAAGCCACATCGGAATTATAGTTAACACAGTTACAAACTTTATTATCTTTAATACTGCTCAGCTAAACGTCCGCGATTTTGAAATAAACCAAACAAGCATAGCCCACGTTCACTGTTCGCGAAATGATCACGGTCGTATCTTCATCAAATGTAGTTTTACGATGATCTGTTACAACATTGTAATATTCTCTTGATTAATCTCTGTTCTAATAGATCAGTTTCATAAACCAATAAACAAGTGCCTTTCTAATTAAGTCATATTCCTATATTCTTATTTCTTGTAAACAATCCAGGAGATTCCCGAAAGACCCAGAAACTCTAGTGTTTACCGTATCAGCACCACGTGGCCAAACGCGGAAGCGCAAATAGACATTTAAGGGAGAGGCGTATTGATGTTGTTTATTACGAACTGCAAGTAGGAGTGAGGACTTAATATTTTGGAAGTTGGTAAGTAGACGGATTTACATAAGAATTGTTTTTTTTTTATGTTTTCCATAATCGTAAAACATCAGTAGTTTTGTTTCAGATTCTTACTCGAACAGCTTTTAAACGTTTAGTTTGACTGTAGTATTTTTTTTA